TACGTGGCCCCATGTTGCCTACGCAATACTGCGACGCTAGCCTCTATGGCTGTGCAATCAGCAGATAGCTCGCGCGCTGCGCCGCCACCCACCTCGAGTGGCCAACAGAGGACCTCCACGGTGCCCCTGAGCTTAACACTAAATATAGGTGCGCTACTTCGTGGTGAAAACCGTTTGGTGCTAGGCGACTTTAACGCGCACCACGATCTTTGGCATTCCTGTCTGTCAAATGACCGTAGGTGGATGGAACTGGCGGAACAGATTGACGATTCGAAATTCTGCACAATGAATGCCGAAGTCCCCACCAGAGTTATGGGCACTTGTAGTAGCTCGCCCGATATTACAATCGCTAGCGGTGGTCTGATAAATAGCATAACCTGGCGACCTATGCTATCTCTCGCATCAGACCATCTACCCATATTTATCTCGATCGAGAAACCTGCCGATTTCGTCTCTGTGGACAACCGCACCTTCAACAAAGCTAACTCTGTCGGCTTCACAGAATTTACTGAGAGCACCTTCAACGCTCTACCCATTCCTACGGACGTATGCGTTGGCGAACGTAAATTCCGCAAGGTGATCGCAGCAGCTACCGCTCGCTTCATACCAGCTGGACGAATAGCGGAATAGCGAAGCAGCCGCTTTAGCTAATGAGCGCGACACCTTACGCCATGCCGATCCCGGGGATCCCCGAATAAGGGMTCTCAATTTGGAGATTCGGCGTATGGTAAACCAGCATAAGCGGACGAAATGGATAGAGCACCTGAAGTCCTGCAACGTCTCCACCGATGTGAGTAAGCTTTGGGCTACTGCCAAAGCTTTGTCCAACCCGAAGAGTCACGACGACCGAGTTGAAGTTCAATTCAATGGTCATGCCTCTTCGGACCCGAAGAAGTGCGCGAGCTATTTTAGCCGGCARTTTACACTGCACCCTTCGGTAGACAAAGACAAACGATGTGTTAACCGACGGCTGCGCAAAATGCCAAACGACGGCGCGCCACTTATTTTCACCGATGAAGAGGTTCAGGGTGTCGTCAACAAAGCAAAATCTTCCAAATCCATTGACCCTGATGGAATCAACATGCTAATGCTAAAGCATCTAGGCTTGGCGGGAGTAAAATATCTCACCAAGGTCCTCAACCTGACGCTAACCACTCTTCAAATACCCGATGTATGGAAAGTCGGAAGAGTGGTCCCACTACTGAAACCTGGGAAACCCGCCAACAAAGGAGAATCTTATCGCCCGATAACTCTCCTCTCCCCAGTAGTGAAGACACTTGAAGCCTTGTTACTCTCGACCTTCACTCACCACCTGAGCCTAGCCAGCCACCAGCATGAATTCCGTAAAATGCACAGTACCACCACAGCACTTAGCGTCATAAACGCTCAGATAGTTCGTGGCCTCAACCAGAAACCACCCTGTGAGAGAGCGATCCTCGTAGCGTTGGACCTGTCAAAAGCTTTTGACACGGTCAATCACACAWCGCYACTGCAGGACATTGAGAAAACCACGCTTCCTCCAGGGCTCAAGAGGTGGACCCTGAACGGTCGCCAATCATCCGTACTATTTCGACGCGCAACATCTAAACTGACATCATATTCACGAACTGGACGAAGGAGTATAGACTGGAACTTAATATTGCAGGCGACGGCGTCAAAATTCCGACTGTCAATAACCCTAAAATTTTAGGTGACATCTTCGACAGTCTATGCTCCTTCTCTCCACATACGACCGCGATTATCGCCAAAGTACACAGCTGCAACAAAATCCTCAAGTCGCTAGCCGGCAGCACATGTGGAAAAGTCAAAGAAACGTTGTTGGCAACTTACAAGGCAATCGGCCGGCCGGTCCTYAACTATGCAGCACCCATATGGTCGCCTGGATGCARTRGCACGCAGATGAGGAAACTACAGACCTGCCAGAATACAGCACTCCGGACCACGACGGGATGCCTCCTGATGTCTCCCATCGAGCACCTACATAGCGAGACGCTTATGCTCCCAGTTAAGGAGCATAATGAACTCCTCTCCAAGCAGTTCCTGTTGCAGTCATCTGCTTGGAGCGGAACCGCCTCCTAGGAGCATCAAGAGGTCATTCCTTGATCACGTCGACGACATCGAACAATACGCCGACAGGACCTCGAACGCTACAGACTTCCGACAGGCACTGACCGCCATTCACAGTGGAGCCGTCAACACCTTCACCGACTCCCTCCCCGYGAATGGCGTACTTGGAGTCAAATCACCACCCATAGCAGACAAAGAGCTCGAATTGCCACGAGAAACGCGAGTGACCCTTGCGCAACTTCGTTCTGGATATTGTAGCAGGTTAAACTCCTACCTATCCAGTATAGACCCTGACATACCCAACGTATGTCCTGCATGCAACGAGTCTCCGCATGACACTGACCACCTCTTTGCATGCCCAACCAACCCCATCCATCTAACACCCTTTTCCCTCTGGTCCGACCCTGTCGAAACAGCACGTTTCCTGGGCCTCCCGTTAGATGACATCGACGACAACACAGATAACCCTCACCATCCCAATGGGGACTGATAACCGTTAAAGCAACAACAACAACATGGACCCAAATCCTACTTATCCAAAAACGACCATCATGCAACGAGTCCCCGCATGACTCTAACCACCTCCTAGCATCCACATTTGACACTCCTCCTCCTATGGTCTGACCCCGTCGAAACATCACGTTTCCTGGAATACAGTTGGATGATCTCGATGACAACTTAACTGAACCTAACCACCCTTACGGCGACTAGCTAACCGTTACAACTACAGTATTTGCTTAAATTGGAACAGAGTAGCATATAGCTGTTATTCAACTCAAATTGCCAAATAAATCAAGATAATGGCGGAACACAATGCTCGCGACAGACTGCAGCAKCACGACAGTGAACTGAAAATGGCGTTGTGAATCCTACTACATGAACGTTTGTGAGAGGGCAGCAACATAGCAATGGCCGGCATGTACACAAAACAACTCAGTTTTCCATTTTGCATGTACACAATCTCGTTGTGGCCATACTAATACCTTGCACTTCAATGAAATTTTAATATTTTGTTCAAAGTGAATTTTTTAAGCAAAATATAAGTAAATTGATATATTTATTTGTTTTAAGTTATCAATTGTTATTATAAATGATGTAACAGAGCTATTTTATGCTTTTATTTGTACCCACTCCTCCCACTCTACCTCATCTCTCTAT